AAGAACAACCGCAGCAATTGCTCCAAATGACGCACTTTCCAAACACCAAAAACAACAATTGCAACAACAACAATTGCAACAACAACAACTGCCGCAACAGTTTCGAATTGCACAACACTGCGCCACAAAACAATCAAAATGCGCTTGCAACTTCAGAGCCCTACACTTGCCCCGCCCCGCACCGCCCCGCAACGCCCACAGCCCCACGATCCACTCAACAAACAGAAACGACCTTAAGAAGCACAGCCTCCGCTTCAGCTCCCCCCCCCCCCCCCCCCCCCCTCCATCAAGCCGCGCCACAGTCTCAGTCCCCCGGCCTCAGCTCGAACAGTCTTGAAGTTCTTTCTCAATAATACGGGCACTTGGATATCCACACACACACACACACACACACACACACACACACACACATGTTGACATTTATCTAGATACAATAGAGTATTAATTTCAAGCCGTCTCGGAAATAGATGTTTATGCATATATCCATAAACATATCTACTTATATTCATAAGCTTCGATGTTTGCAACACACTTCAGTATTTCCTTTTCAAGGCTGCGAACCGGTTTTGAACCGGAACTGAAACTAAATAAATCCCAATTATGTTTAGCTACGAGAACCATTTATTTTTTATGCTCAAAATGTGACGAAAAAAAGGCTGGAAAGTATGTCTGAATAAGCTAAGGTCATCCCGAAAGCGAAAGTCATTGGTTCGAACCCAAGCCTGAGTAACTAAATGTGGAAAAACAGGTTCACAAACTGAACCGCGAATCAAGGAAGTGGTTCAAACCCAAGTCGGAACTGCAATGTATGGGAAAAACAGCTTCACGAACAATTGCTCAAACCAGGGCATTGCTTCGAACCCAAAAAGATTCACGAACCGAAAAAGACGTTGGTTCAACTCAAGCCTGAATTATCGCTGGAGGCAAAAACATTGGTTCGAACCCAAGCCTGATTGATGACAGTTGGAAAAAGAGGTTCTCGAACTGCGAGCCGAACCTAAACAACAGCCAAATAAAACAAGAAGCAAATGTTTATAATACCAAATAAGAAACACACATATCTTGTTCAGCGAAAGAGAAATGAGCCAAACCAAAAAAAGTATAACAAAGCGTTGCAAACACTATGCGACACCAGTGTTGTAAAGTACTTAAGTACATGTATTGCAAACGAATAGAACAAGCAAATATTCAGATAATAATTTGATGGTTTGTTACGATAAAGAACTATCAGGTCAAGTCTCTTCGGGATCCCAGTCTAGAATACAGTCAATTAAATCAATTGGTTAAAAGTTTTATGCCATAGCATAAATAAATGAAGTTTGGCTAACTTATGTTGTTCAATTCATAAACGCGACTACGAAATCATATTCGATTTCATGTTCACAAGGTTCCAATAAACGGAAAAATATATGTCAAGTGCAATATGATTATTTTTGTCTCAAATTAATTCTGATTCATAAGGCTGAATGTTATCTAAATTGAATTTAAACAATTTCGAGAAGTGCGAGCAACACGACAAAAATGACAATGCAAAGAGAATTATATTTCAATATTCCAATCAAATTCATATATTTTTCCTTGGAAGTCGATACAGAATGGGCACAGTTTGGTTTGGATAAGTTGAAAAAAAAAGAAAAGTTCTAAGTTTCGTTCGATCGAACGTTACGTAAAGACTTGTTGCAATTCCACGGGCAACAGTGGAAAATGGACGGAAATTGATTAAAACACAAACCTGCCAGAAACTTGTCGGGAATTTCAGCAACATTTTGTAATATTCAAAAACGTAAGATTTCAGGATAGTAGGAATAGAATTTAAATGGAAGTCGTAAAAACTATGCACAAAATTTGAAGCTTCAAACTGCATCGCACGCTAGCATATATGTTTTTTGCAAATGTGAATGTGGATATAAAAATATACTTTTATGCATAAATATAGAAATCCAGACAAGTTTATAGAGCAGTTAATGCTTGGAAAGGATGTCGAGAACTCGTGGCTCGAGACGAAGTCTTTTATGATTTGTCAAAAGTTGCTCTGTTTTTTAATAATCATAATGAATTATGATAAGCTCTAATCAGTTCCAGTTCCAGTTCCAGTTCCAGTTCCCGTGCCAGTTTCAGTTTTTAGTTCATTTCGTTTGCACACACCAAATAAAAGTGCCCACCCCCAACCCCACCCCTTCGGAACAACAAGGCAAGTGTCGAAAATTCATTAAATTTACAAGGACACAACTTTGGACGGCGCACTCTCGCTGTGTGTGTGTGTGTGTGTGTGTGTGTGTGTGTGTGCGAGTCTTTTTTGTGACCTCTGACATTGCATTTAATCTCGTTGACAGCACTTAATACGCCCCCGAGTAGTAAAAGCGGCGACGCCCGGCTAAATAAAAGCTCACTTCAACTTGTGGGCGTTGCGGGTGGCGCGGGGTGGATAGCGACAGGAGTAGGTGAGCAAGGGGGAAGGGGCGGGCGTGTGTGTTGCTTCGGAGTGCTTGTCGTTGTTGTTGTTGTTGTTGTTTTTGTTTAATATTTTTGCTCTTGTGTGCTGCGGATTATTTAAGTTTACAATACGCTTAGGGGTAATTTTAATCTGTTGCAAATTGTTTTTGTTGCTTGCCTTGCTGCAGACGCAACAATCGACGACGATGCGCCAACCCCCTTAACACACACACACACACACACACACACACACATACACACCCGCAGCCCCTCCCAACTCAGCCGCACGGTGACAACAGCCGGACAAGCCACCCAAAAAGCAGCTTCTATAAAACATCTTTTTGCATTGCTGCTCTAGTGCCTGTTTTTATTTTTACCCTGTACCCATTTGCAACTGTCTAGAGAAAGGGTATATTGTTACTGTGCCAACGTATGTAACACACAGAAAAAAATGTATATACTATATTATATTTAAGCTAGGTGCATGACATTTCAAATATTAAGACATATATATTTCCCGCATATCGATAAAAATCGATTCGAAGACTGGTTTTTATAGAGCATAACTCGAGCATTAAAAGAGCTGGCTGGTCTGGGAATAATATAACATATATTTTACTTTTTAGATGACTCATTCAAACAGAAAACTTTTATCAAAGGACGCCGCTAGCGCTTTGGTATATACTTGATTCTTAGGTATGTCATATTTAAGCCCATCCAGAAGATCGGACTATAGACACCGAGGGTATCACCTAGTCGCGCAGGCCCTTCTTAATCACTTTTCGTGTGTTTTTTTTTTCATGTGGCATATACTTGCTCGCATTTGTGGCATATTTCATGGATATGGTAATCCACATGCGTGTATGTGGTTGGGGCAGGGTTCGGGGGCGCGAGGTGGGGACAGGGGCATGGTTCGACTGTGATTTGGATTTTGGTTTAGCTGCTGCCGGGGTCCGTCCGTGGGTTGTTTCATTAGGCGAGTGTTGCGGCAAGTGGGCGTGGCTGTTGGCCCGTTTGGGGAACAATTGCAATTTCACTTTTTTTTTTTGGGGGGGGGGGGGGGGGGGGGAAATGGGTTTTCATTTTTGTTTCTTTTTTTGTTTTTGCATATACAATTTATGCGGCAAGCGCTTGAAGGAGGGTCAGGGTCATAAGCCGGGGCAAATTCGTTGCTTTATTATTTGATGGAACGAAACATTAGGAAGAGGCAAGTGAGACAGCGCTTAGAAGTTGAGGAACGTTGCAGGCAATGGAACAATGCATGTGCAATGAACTCTAAGTGGTACACTGGAAATGGAACATATTAGCAAAGAGTTAAGCCTTATGTTTGGTTGCGAACTAATACGGTTAATTCGTTGTAAACTGTTCCGCTGAAAGAGACGTGTGGATGAAACACTACGGGCGTGTGCAACTTCAAGTGAAACGATGGAAATGAAACATTGACTCAAGCAAAGTTAAATTCATTGTTTCAATTCAACATATCGCACAATTGGATATTGTTTTATTCCTGCTTGCTCCGAGTGGAACAGTGGCAATGAAACAGGGCAGGGAGACGTGCAGGGCGCACAGACATGCATGTTTACGCATTCCGCCAATTGTCATTTGATTGGAGCAAGCCATGACACAATGTGGAACAGTGGCAATGAAACACTGTAAGGAGAACAGAGAGCAGAGCTCATTGTTTCACTTCAGGGCAATAGCGATTGTTTTATTCTCACTTGCTGCCTGGTGGAACGGTGGCAATGAAACAAGGCAGGCAGACGTGCGAGGCGCACATATATGTATTAGATATGCCATGACGCCGGCTGAGATTCCTGTGGACCGCCACAGTGTTTCATTTCCGCATTCCGCCAACCATAATCTCAGCGCTGTAATGCGAAAAGCCTCACCTTTGCGAATTCTAGTGAACGGTGCAAATGGAGCAAAGTTTTTAGCACCGGAATATGCAAGTACTTTCTGATACGATTAGCAGCTCAACATGTGTGCCACATAATATCCGCACACTATTTTCGTTTTACAGAGAATTACGCATAATTGGCAGCGAAGCGGCACGTACAAAAATCAATTCCCATTTACTGAATAAGTGGTCTATAATTTTTATTCTTAATTATCCCCGCTCGATGTAGTTTATGCTAAATATTTCTCAATTACAACAACGATTTTCAAATTCGTTAATCAGAAAGAAAGAAAAAATAGAACAAAATCGATTTGAATATTGCGAATTCTCCACATAGCGACACGTGGCCAGATGCCCATGAGATCAGCGATCGCCGCTGACATCACACAGAAAAAGAAAAGTATATTAAAATAATATGGAAAACCATAAACATAAATGGGCAAATGATTATAATTAAAACAAATCAATGGAAACCCAAAACTGCCAGCTATAAATATATATATATATACATATATATGGATATATATGTTTGGATATAAAGAAAACTACTTCAGTGTAAAGAAAATAAAACCAAATTTTGATGGCGCATTCGTGAGTGAATCAATCAAATGAAAAAATAAAATCAAAAATGCAATAATTGAAATAAGAAAAATAATTAATTGTAACTCACCCTGTGGCTGGGGCTCGGGTTCGGGTTCGGGTGCGGGCTGACGATCTTGGCCGCGATCTTGATCTTGATCACGATCTTGTTCGCGATCTTGTTCGCGATCTTGATCTTGTTCACGATCTTGATCTTGTTCACGATCTTGATCTTGATCTTGCTCCTGGTCGGGTCGTTGTTCGGGTTCAGGTTCGGGTTCGGGCTCATTTTCCTCTTTATTGGGGCAACCAGCCTCGTCTGTCTCATCGTTACAATGTATCAGGCCATCGCAGCGCATAAAGAGCGGCAGGCAGCGATCGTCGCACTTGAATTCATCATCTTTGCAAACTAAGTAAGGCAAAAAGCGCAAAGCAAAAGGAATGCAAAGAAAATAAATAAATGAACATATCGACTTAAAATAGCTGATGAAACAAAGTTTACAAAACGAATGAACGAACGATGAGAGATCGATAAAAAAAAATATCGATCCTTAAATAAATCGAATCTCGAATTGGTGATATAAGTATAACTAAGCGATTGATCGATTGATTAACTGATTGAATGAAACTTGGTCTATGTTTGGGCCGAATTCGTGGCTCTCAATTCAAATGTATGATTGACTGACGTTAGTTTTTTATTGATTGATTGATTGATTAATTTCAAATTGATTGACGTAACAGAATCGATCATAGTCTTTGATTGAGTTGTTGATTGATTGATTGATTGCATCAAACATGTTCTACCTTAAAGCTAATTTGTGGACGCTAAACTCTGACTTAATATTGAATAACGAAAGTTTTATAATTGATTGATTGATTGATGGCAAGAAGCGTCGTTTATTTTAAGGCTGATGTGCGGGCTTTTAACTCTGATTTGAAGTTGATTGTCGTAATAGATTGATTGATTGATTGAGTGAAAAGAGGCCTTTGTCAAGGCTGATTCTTCGACTCTCAACTTGAATTTTAGTTATCATGACATGTGATTGAATTGAAAATCGTACTTTATGATTGATTGATTGAGTGAAAAGTGGTCTATTTTTAGGCCCATTTTTCGACACTCAAATCGAATTTTACACTATATAATATGTGATAAGAGTTAATGAACGTAGGTATTTGGAGATTGATTGATTGATTGACTACATCTAGGTCTATATTGAGACTAATTTGCGAGCTTTTGACTTGATGACATGTGATTGAGTTGACAGCCTATTTTCGTTTTTTTTTTTTTTTTCTAAGATGATCATTACCCTCGACGTTCCCGGTACAATCCTCTTCATCTTCGCCTTGGGGACAATTATTTTTGCCATCGCATCTCATCTCGTCGCAGACGCGAGTGTTGCTGCGGTAGCAGTAGAATGTCGAATCACCTCGGCATTCCGGTTCTCCGGAGCCATCTTCCTCGTCAGTCGGTTCGGTCGTTTCAGGGGCGTTAGGATCTAAGTTGTGTGTAAGTGTGTGCGGGTGTGGGTGTGTGTGTGTGTGTGTGGGCGTGTAGGTGTAGAGGTGTGTGTGTGTGTGCGAAGAAGGCACGTTAAAAAACAAATTAGCAGTCTTTTAAACAAAAATATTGTTAGAAAACAAAGCACATATAAAATAAGGAGCTGGGAGAATGAGCTACACATAGACGACGATGACAACACATAGTGGGAGCACGAGTGAGAGAGAGGGAGAGAGAGCGGGGGGAGGCAACAAGCAAATGCGAACACAGTTAGGCGTTAGTATATATGTTTTTTTTATGTTTAGTTTTTAGAATACCCAATGGAAATTTGCAAGAATCCTGCATCTAGCTTTTTATGCAGGACTCTCTTGATGTCTTGTCGTGTCAGCTGTCATGCAGGACACTCTGCCTGACATGTCTGCACTTTTGGCATCGCGAAACTTCTTTTTAATGAAAATGTTGATTCCTCTTTTAATCTCAGTCCAGGCTAAACAGACTGCATTGTGACACAGGACGTACTTAATGACATGTCAAGCAATTGGCTAAGGGACAAGCTCGATGACATGTCACTGAAATTGTCATCGAGCGTCCGATAGCCAACTGGGGTTTATTTACTTTCAGCAGAGCTGCAAACCTATAGAAGTGCTTTATTAAGTATATATGCCGAGAACTGAGGTTTGCAGCAACGCTTTTACAGGAAAAGAGAGCGCTCTGTTAATAACATTTGCAGTTACAGCTATGTTAATTGTTTTCAGATTAGTTGAATGTGCTTTAAAAATCTTGTTAAGGTTTCGCGTGTGAGCGTGTGTGTGTGTATGTGTGTGTGTGTGTTTGTGTTAGTGTGCAACAAATTTGTAGACTAAACATTATCAAAATTCCCCAATCCAAACACAGCGTGCGCACTGACAGAGACAGGGGAGATACAGAGTAGAGAGTGAGGAGGGGGGGAAACAAACCCTTATCGATGGGCGTGAGCTGGCACACTTGATTCTCGCCCTCGCCAATGCAATAGATCTCGGTGTGCTTGACCTCTTGGCGTGCACTGCAGAAAGCCGGGTTCTCATCGGAACCATCGTCGCAATCCTCCCGCCCATTGCAAATATCATAGCAGGGTATATTCGCTATATAGCCGCTATTGCACTGGAAATAATCATTGTTGCCATCGCATTGATCAAAATGCGGCACGCTAGAGCTATCAACAGGCGTGGATGTCGGCTCCTGCGGCACGGGCACGGGCACGGGCACAGGCACAGGCAGAGGCTGGCCGCTGCGGCGGACGCACAGCTCGGGATTCTCATCGGAGGCATCGTCGCAGTCGGCACGGCCATTGCATATATTGTAGCAGGGTGTGCTCAGCTTGTCGCCGCTCTCGCACTGAAAATCATCGTTTTCCGATTCGCAATCGGTGGAATTTGTTATCGAATTCTTTCGATTGCGCTGATCGCACAGTTCCGGACGCTCATCGGAGCCATCTTCGCAATTGTTAATGCCATTACAAATATCTTTGCAATAGATCTGATAGGGACGGCCGCTGTTGCATGTGAACGGCTCATCAACAGAATTGCACAGATCAACATCCTCATCGACATCCACATCAACGTCCGCATCCTCATCCTCCTCGGAATAGACCGGGGCCAGCGGCACACTGGGCCTGGCATAGGGATTCGGATAGCGCAGCAAACGACGCCGACACATCTCCGCATTCTCATCGGAGCCATCTTCGCAATCGGGCTGACGATTGCATGTGTTTGTGCAGGGCACGCTCTCAATTTCGCCGCTCTCGCAGATGAATTCGTCGATGTCAAAGTCCCTCGGGCTGCTGCACTGGTCATCTGTGTGTGTGTGTGTGTGTGTGTGTGTTAGGTGTGTGTGCGTGTGTGTGGGTGAGTGCATTTGAATAGTTTTTAGCCACAGGTACGCATAAGTATTTATTTACAGTGTTGTGCGCAGCTCGAAAAGCTTTTAGTCAGGAGCTTACAATACTACAGCTGAAAGCTTGCACAGATCGGCGTTTTCCAACACCAAAAGCGTTTTCGAATCGTTTCGCATTTCGATATAAGTACACGGAGAAATTGTGAAAATGAAACTTACCCAATATCAGACGGAAATAGAAATCATCGTCCAGCGAGGCGCTCTGATTGCCAATCCGATTGTATGTCTGCAGCTGATGGCGCAGCTTGCTCTCGAAGTCTAGCACATCGGTGGGTATATCCAGATTGACAATCACATAGCTCTTGTACTGATCGTTTGTCGGGCTAAACGATAAACGCAATTGCAAATTGATATTAGTTATTTGACTTACTTCAATCAAAAACGATTGATTCAATCAAAATGTGAAATATTTCGTACTATACGAGCATATACGTATACAAAATGCAATATGTGAAGCGCCTAAAAGCTATGAATTGTGCTCTAAAAGTCTGATTTCGATATCGATATTTATCGATATATTTTATGGTAACGGAGCAAGTTATCGATCATTTGAACAGAACTTGAGCTATGTTCGCAATTAGAATTCTCCGACTCTGAGATTTGCCGAGCTCGACAATCGGAAAAAACTGATTTATATTTATCGATATATATCGACGCGACAATGGATGCTGATCGAGAATATCTATAGCTACCTGTTTCAGCCTCTTACATGCATTTGGAATCAAATTCAAAAACACAATCTATCTATTATCAAAGGGCACAGCAAGTTTGTACACAAATCGATATGTGAAGAAATCGATAAATATCGATTTTCAGATGGACATTTTTAAGCATAGCTCGCAGTTCGATGCCCAGCTTGGTTTGTATGCTTTCTTAAATAGTTCTCTCAAATCGAGCAGATTTCACACAACGCCCGGTCATTCACACCGGATGCTAGCATACTTGAAGCTCTGGCAATCGACTTACCCGACTTGCAGCAGAGTGGAGCGCAAATCGACATCGTCGTCATCGCCCTCGTAGGTGCGCCGGAAGAGATCGCGCAAACCCCGGCCAATCTCCTCGGTCAGATTGAGAAACTGTTCGCTCCGCTTGTCATTAAAGTCGTTCTCGTACGGCTCATTGACGGTGAATCGTGTGCGGTCTGAAATGTGCGTAAATAATAATTGAAGTCGGACCACGATTAGCAGTTGTTGAATTCGATTGAGACTCACATAGTACGGTTTCCAGGCCATCGTTGCCGGAGCCCACCTCGTTCTCGTAATCGTCGGAGGCCCGTTTCCGGTGACTGACCGGACGTTGCTGTCGTTTTGTGAGGGCCGCACGCTTCTTGAGGGCCGGCTTCTTGGCGCGCTTCTGCCTGTGATGGACATCGTTGCCGCCAAAGAGCCGATTCAGCTCGCGACGCACACGCCTCACGCCCTGATGGAACCAATTGCCCTCCACGGCGGGCTCGTCGCTGAGGGGCGTATACGGCTGCAGATTGTCGGACCCCGTGAACGGAGTCTGATCCTCCAGATCGAAGAACATGTTGTCATTGTCATCGAGACTTGAGATTTGCTGCAATTACAAACATTCAACATATAAGTATATTTAAGTTAAAGGATATGTGAAAAGAATGTCCATCAAAGTGAATTCGAATATATAAGAATATTTTTTGGAGGCATTAAGAACCTCCTACTACAAGTTATCACAATACCTCTTTAATTTTTTGGCCGTAAATTTTACTGAAAGCCCCTTAATAGATTAAATATGCAAAGTCAACAGAAGGTTTGAAACCCAACTAAAACAATTATTGACTCAACTAGAGCTCTATTATTTACTGCGATTTTGTTTGGGCATGGAATACTATATATAACATTATACTCATATATATATATATATATGAGTTGGCCTGGAAAGCTCCCCACATCAAATTTGATGCACACAAAAGTCAAAGCTTTCAAGCTCTTTGTCGGTCGCGTTCCATGCTAAAAGCAGAGCTTTCACAGTTTGACATGCACTGCCGGGCGCGAGAGCTTCTCAACACAGCGTCGCGCGCTGTTAAGCTGAACAGGCAAAAGCTCAACGCTGTAAAACTCGACTGTTAACTGCCTGTTAGCCGCTGGGGCTAGTTGAAATGTTGAAAAACTGTCGAAGTAGAATTAAGCTGAGGTTGAAGAAGGCAAAATTTAGGAATAAGTATTTATATAATATAAAGAAAAATTATTTAAGCTATATAATATATAATATTAAGTAATATGTACTTTATATATTTCTTTCTCATTTCAGCTAATTTAAACTGAGTCCTTGACAAAAGCGAAAAAAACAAAAAAAAAAACTAAAGCCCCTATTGAAGCCCCAAAAATGTTACAAAGATCGGACTTTAAATACCGAAGATAATCAAGGCTGCATTTCCCATAAAATGGAAAGATGTGTTAAAGTCATTTGAGATAAGACTAAAAGTTGCCTTGGAATGAATTAATTTTGTTTGAGCATAGATTTCATATAATCGGAAGCACAGAAAATATTCGCAATAAATAAAAAATAAATAGTTAGTTCACTTCACTTTTTTTTGGTTAATCATTTTTATTGCTGATTATAAACGGGTAATGTGTGTGTGCGTGTGTGTGTGTGTGTGTGTTTTATGCCATTTGGCCGCATTTCTTGTTCTTGAGGAACTGAATTCAATGACTTGAACTTCTATAAAAAGCATTTACGCAATTTGTGCCCCAATCGAAGAAGCATTTGTTCGATTCCTCAATTAAACCCGTCATAAAGTGCGTAGCACTGGACTGTAACCGACTGTTGTATACTCTATTTGCAGTTAAATCTGTCGGAAAGGAGTCTGACTGTTTCCCGGACTGTTGACTGCAAAACTGTAAGCCCAGAGCAATGATTGTCAAACGGTGTGCGAGAACATATTTTTTTTTTTTTCAGAGTAAGTTTTGATCAGTAGAACTGTTGAATTGGCAGTCGCTGGTTCTAAAGCTTTAATTCATCCATATCGCAAAGCCATATTTGCCGTTGAAAGGAATAAATGCGACCTTGGCGCTGATTCTGCAATCCCTTATGACGCCCAAACTGTGCGCAGCAGAGCTTGTCAAACTTTCGTTTTCTGCACTCAAAAAATGGTTTTCTTTATTTTTACATTTTAGAAAACCACCTTAAAAAACAAAGTTTTCTTCAGTTTAAGATTCTTTACAGTTTTTTATTTTGGGCATATTTTTTCTGCATATGAGAACATTTTTTTGTTGGTAATTTTTTTATGATTTAGGTGCCTTTTTTTTATATGTAGCTTAATTGCAATTTTCCGTTGCATTTTGTTTGTTTTTCCTTCAAAGAATCTCAATCGCTGCCCCATCGATTATTATTTTCCCAGTGACCCATATTTGAAAATGTTTTTCAACAATTTTCCTTTGCTTGATCAATTTATGAGTACAACAAGTTGCAGCTAGGGCCAGGGGCGTGTGGCAAAGGGAAGGGTAAGGGGGCGCTGGTTATTTTTATACGCCCAATTGAAATTCAAGTGTCAATTCTCTTCGATTCCCTCCCCTCTCTCTCTCTCTCTCTCTCTCTTTCTTTCGCTCGACTATAATCTATGCCCATATGCGGTGGATCTTCCTTCACCCAGAGCCAACCCTGCCATATTTCAATTGTGATAAGTCCAAGTGTAACAGGGAGATATATAGATATATAACAGCGCCCCTCGGCCAGTCTCTGTTCTGGTCTATTTGCAGGAATGCGATTGTAAAGTCTTGAGTTCATTTTTTTCAGTCGTATATCTGCGCACATGGCTTTAAAACCCAGTGAATCAGTGGCTTTTAAACTGTAACATTAAAATATGTTATGTTATATGGTCAAAAGTGTCTCCTTAGCGAATGGTTGGGCTCTGCCCGAAAATACTTAATACTTAATTTACTTTTGTTTGCCAACATATTATAATTATCTTTTTATAAATAATACGAAGTAATAGTGCTGGTATATTTTTGGTAATTATCTTCTCTTTTTTTTCTTTTCTTATTAAGCAATAAATTACGCAAATTATATCAATATTTTTTAGCAACAAGCTTAACTTTCATTAGTAAAATTAAAATTGAGCCGCAGCCAACTTAACGCTCATAACTGATCTGGCGTTGCCAGATCGCTGCGGCAATTGTTAAAGTCAGCAACGCGCTGTTAAGTATATATTTATATATATTCCCCTATATCTTATATCTGTGTACTGTGCGTCGTGCTGCCTGAGAAATTTATGAAATGTGGGCCAAATGTGCATTGAACAGCTGCCCCAAGCAGCCGCCCCCACCAACCCTCCAGCCGACAACCCTGCCACACGCAGAGCTCATTGATAAAAGCCGATAAGGTGGCACAAGATAATGCGCAGCGGACAGAGATAGAAGGTGTGTGTGTGTGCGTGTGTGTATGTCTGTGTGCGGGTGAGGGGAGGGGGTAGTATGTGCTGGGGGGAGCGGGGTTGTTGCATTTTCATGTCACATAAACGTGAATGCATTAGCTACGCACGAAAATTCTCAGGGCACCGAAAATAGACAAGGCGGAAATGCAGCACTTGAAATTCTGCTGAAATTTCATCAATCAAAAATCGAAATAAAATCGAAAACGAAAACAAAAACAACAACAACAACAAAATACAAACAAACAAACAAGCAACTTAAGAACAACAACAACAAAGTTGAACAAACTTTTGTGTTTGGTAATTTGTATACCCTAACTGAGGGTATTTCTAGTTTATGATCAAATATGCAACACATAGCAGGAAAGGTCTTGCAATCTATATCTTTATCTATATATCTTTATATATCTTTATCTATATCTATATCTATATCTATATCTATATCTATATCTATATCTATATCTATATCTATATCTATATCTATATCTATATATCTATATCTATCTATATCTATATCTATATCTATATCTATATCTATATCTATATCTATATCTATATCTATATCTATATCTATATCTATATCTATATCTATATCTATATCTATATCTATATCTATATCTATATCTATATCTATATCTATATCTATATCTATATCTATATCTATATCTATATCTATATCTATATCTATATCTATATCTATATCTATATCCATATCCATATCTATATCTATATCTATATCTATATCTGTGCCACAAGTGTATTTAATCTGCGGCGTGCCGCAGACAGCCCTTCTATCTGGTTCTCATGCCTTTCGCTTTTGTTGTTCGATTGCTGTTGTTGTTGTTCTCATTGCCTTTTAGCGTTGTCTGCGCTGCGTCTGCGACATTGTCTGGGCCCCAAAAATTGGAGACTCTACGTGCAGTACTTATTGCGAGGGGAGGGGCTGTGGCCGCCATATCGATAACATTTTGATTGGGCCGGCGTAGATGGGGGCTTATAAAACTGCATAGTCACGTGTCGCGTCTTTGAACTTTTTGTTTAGTGTTTTGCCAAGTTTGCAGCTTCTTGTTGCTGTTGTCGTTGTACGTAAGTTCGTGTGTTTGAGTGTCAATTGGAGCCTGATTATGCCCAAATGGCAACGCTTAACAACTCAAATGCCCGCTCCTAAAATTCCCATGCCCTTTAGCCATATACACTCATGAACAGTAAGGAGAGACGGTTCGATTAAGTCAGGTCTAGACAAAATGAGGCTAGAAGCCCAAAAATTGCAGTAAATGCCTTCTTGAATAACTGCAGAATGATTGTTTAGCATAAGGAGCGAAAAAGTGAAGCATGCTTAATAAGTGCGTGCTATACAAGAGTCTACATGCCGAATTTGGCGTCTCTAGCTCAAAATCTGCTCCACAAACTAGCTTCGATAACGATTTCTAATCGATTTCAGGAAAACGCAAAAAGTTATCGATGATTTGAAACAAACTAGAGCTGCTCTAGCTCGGATAGCACCCGAACTCGACGTTTGTAAGAAAATCTATGCTTTATGCACCAGAAAAATGTAGAGTACAACGAAGTAGTTTTTGAAGCCGTGGCTCTCAATGTCCCAGCTATACGCCAGACCTAAATATAGGCTATCTATAATCTTGGGCTACTAATGAGCCAAGCCGAAAGTCACTTTCAATGTTTGCTAAGCTTTTCCCAGCTTAGGCCTAAGTACAGCCAGGGCTAATTAAATTCCCAGACTCAATTTGAATAAAAATTCATGTACTAAAGAGCTATCGATGCTATCAATAAATTTGAGCAACTCTTCAACTCTTCAACTTGTTTGAAGCATTATTTCATCAAAATTTGGCCTATTAAATACCAAAATTCACTTGTACTACATTAAGCAGGCGTCCTCCATGGTCACTTTGTTGATTGTTGGAAAGCTAATGAATAGACCAAATATTGCAATGATTTATGCATAATTGTTGCATGTGGCTTACAAATTGGCACAGAATGCGCTGTGTTTATTTTCTTGTTATTTAGCTGCTGAGCCACACGAACCGCATGCCTAGAGCAATGCCTGTCAAACTGTGCCGGCGCGGCACGCACGCACGGCGGCCAACGGGCCGCCCACGCAGCGCGTTGCATTGGAATATTACGCATACGCCGCGTTAAACAAACAACAAGCATT